AAGTTATGCAACAGCACGAGCTTCGTTTGAAATGTACAAGAGTCTTAAGCTCCCACAAGCGTGGGACCCGTAATTTGAAAGGAACTAGCAAAAAGAACTGGCAAAAGTGCAAAAGGCGTCCCATCTTCGCTCTGAGCCGAACAACGCCAAATTCGAATATTGGCATATTTCTAAATTGTGCTGATCCGGGCTACATCAGGAATGAACACAAGGAACCTCGAAGAAGAGAATTTGGAAAACCTATTTGGCTCAAAACGGCCAAACAGGTTTTCCAGGTCTCCTCTTTCAACTGTGGAACCTAAAGAGCTTTTGGCCAACTTTGAGCAATTTTGGTGGACTTTCCTACGGCCTGTATGGATTCAACACTTTAACTCTGAATTAAATACCTCCACTACAATATTTTGAAAAGGAAATCGCTCCAATACGGGGGCGAAATGGGCTGTCCTGAGTTATAAATAATACTAGAGGTCGTTTATTTTGAATACAAATCGATAAATAGATAGGATCTACCAATGGAGCAACGATCATGACCCGTTAGCTTTGCATCTGCAGCAGTATCTGTCGCTCTCATTACGCTATAATTGTCGTCCTTCGGACATTGCAAGCAAGCACTTTGTAAGGAGCGTCAATGTCAGTTCGATACAAGTGGCATGGAATGATTTGTAGGGTCTCCATGCGCATTCGTTTGATCTCGTCGTCTCGGTATCTCTCCCACTTTTTCTACCAAAATTATTCGCGACTGCTGTTTGTTCGATAAAACCGGTACGGTAACCAAAAACAGATAACGAAATGATGATAATAGATAGAGGGATGGATCAGCCGCTAAACACCCTTTCGGTGAAAGAACAAAATGTTTTTTTATGGACGGTAACGATCCTGTCTTAAATTTTGAGAGTCGAATCTCATGCAAAACGAGCAGGTGCGGAAGCACGACAAGTATGTAGGTAGCTGAAGGGTAACCTAGCTTCACCAGGGTAACATATCGACATTGCCTCGGTCAGGGTAGCCTGTGCCTATCAGGGTAACTCGCATCGTCGTTGTAAGAGTCGACAAAATCGAAACAAGCCCGTGAATTTTCCAGTTTTTACCAACTATTACAAGTGGCTCAGCATTATCTACTCGTAACCCACACTCCCATACTCACCTATTCAGAAAAGTGCTCTAAAGATGTTCTACTTTTTGAATTGATTTATGTCATAGAATTACCCTGTAGAACAATAAAGTTTGACCCTAATTCATCGTTACATTCCCCCTACTTTGAACAGAATCAGGGCCCACAAAACCATTCTGTCTCTCCAAAACCAACGCACGTCGTGGTCCTGCCGTTGGGGAGAACTCTGCAGAATACAATCCCCCTCCTTCAGAATTTCCTACTCTAATCATCTGGTGCGACCCAGACCCATCCCCTTCTCCTTTCCTGCCCACCGCCTTCCTGAATTTACAGCTGAAAGCACTTTTTTCAGGAAAAAAGCCCCGTTCCCTATGTTCCAAGCAAATACGATGTGCCTCGCTGGGGATCCCCAACTTATGATGTGCCCTGCTTACAACTATGGACGCTTTTTACCAACTTTTTGTTCTAAGCTCAACCCAGTGGAATCCATCGGGCTGAGAATCGATCAGTGCCGAATATAAATGATTATTAACAAGCGTGTCATTGTCGTCTCGAGATGTAATGCATAGCGTGATTTTGCTTCTGGTCACAGTGGGGTGATGAATCTCGCCGAAACCGATGCGCTCTCCGCTTTGAAAGGGTTTGTATGTCGTTGACATTGCGGTGATGACGGCAACTTGCCGCCATCACATCAATCAACCATTTCCGACTATATCGCTGGCTTGAGCCGATAACATCTGCAGGCGATCGTAGAAAACAGCAATTGTTCATATTCACTTTCGTTTGAGATACGAAATGGAATTCCTCCAAGTAGGATCAGTGACTTGTAGAGTTCTTCCTTAAAGACACTCCGAGCTGGCAAAGTAACCATCTTGCTGCTCTTATTGGTAGGCGCCCCGATCTGAGTCCAAAAGGTGTAAGAAAGCAACAAGGGAAAAGCGCAATTGTGCAAGTGAGTCCGCCCATACTGTCACCTGGGAAATGCCTTTAGCTTTTTGTTTACTTTTCGATATAATTGTTTGTTTGACGCTGCGAAAAGGAGCAAGCACACTAAACAGCGGCAGCTTTTCAATTTGGACACCAGCGAAAAGCGAATTCGTCAGCGACAAGAACTACTTTTCCCCATTATTTTTCCTTTTTTTGGAGAAAAGATCGAAGAATATCGCAGAAAAGGTTTCTGAAGATGGTTTTAACAGAAGCTTCTCGATTGGAACTTATAAAGGGTGACAGATTGGGCTAGAGTCTAGCCTAAACCTAAGGAGATGCATTCCAGGTACTGTAGGAACCGCTTAGAGGGATATAATACCAGCTCGAACTTAATAAGTGGAGAAGGAATCCTACCATCTCTCCATTGTGAGTTACTGTGAAATCAAGTGGCTTGCATGGCAACAAACTGTTGGTAACCTGACTGGAAGAGATTACTAGGGCTCTCAAAACAATGCCTTTTTTTCTTTTTGCCGTGAAAACCCTCACCTCCAGTATTGACGTTTCGGTCGTGACTGTGCTCTCTGGCCACCCACTGACCTGATGATGCTCTTGCAAGCTCATATTTGAGCGAGGTCATAGCCACTCATGTGCTCGAACTCCCTTCTGGAGAAGTTCTCGGGTCAGTCCCCTCAGGCGGTCTGAGGACAGCATACCAGCGAGGTCAGCTGGTAGCTGTCCCGAGTTACGCTACACCACGAAAGGAGTGTGGTTTTGCAGCAGGCGTAACCATTCAAAGGTCTCTGGTGAAATTTATGAAGAGGGGTACCTTGTATATGCCCGCCCCATTTTTTCTGGGTATCTAATGCTCCCTCCACGAAATTTCCAGCGGTATGAAAACAATTTTTGTCTTGTAACTTGCAGTCATTAATTAGGTGGGTAATGGCTGCGCGGGACGGCGGCGGTTTCGCTGGGGCGATATGATTGATATGTGAAGGAAAATCGTCACAACGTATTCATCCATAAACGCCAACAATCACATTCCCTAAGCGCTCAGATCAATTTGTAGATCACAACGGACCACCCACTGCCACCACCCAAGGGGTCGAACAGTGAACCGATTAATTACTTGAATGCCATGAGGTCACAAACCTTTGTAAAGTCCGGCGACGCCTTCTTTCTGGACAATTGTCTTGAAACAATGAAACGTGCCACGATAGAGTTTTGAACTGGCATGTTGCATCTGTAGACGAACTTTGACCGTATCCAACGGATGTCCGGCAAGGACGCCGGCAGCGCCTGGAACAGGGACAACTTCGTCGGAGAGATGATAAAATAATAAGTGAAATGGTGAAAGATCAATCCTACCTCCTAAACATCCAGCAAAGAAATCAACAACCCACATAATTAGACTAGTATTTGAAGTTGAAAGAGATCGACTAGTAGCTTGTCACGTATCGCGTATCGCGTCTAGCCTTCGAGGCTGGTGACGGAAACGCGTTAAAAGTAACCAGATAGAAGTTTTGGGCGAACAGCAGAAGCCGACGTAAGTCTAGGACGAACAGGTGAGTGGTAGATGAGGAAGATGTGTGAGAATCGACGACCAAGACTCGACCTCTTCGAAGTTGGCGCGTTCTAATATGGTGCTAATCATCATCGGCCCACCCACATTCGCTGATCGATATACTGTAGTTGATGGGACAAAAAGTGCACGCCCCCTACGGACGCAGACGACGCCCGTTCACTCCTACAGTACATTGGTCTTCGGGGGGTAGAGAAACGAAAGATGGCTGACGAGAAACAGAAACAGGTGCTTGGAGCCGGTATTGATGAAATCGCCAAATAAGCGGTCTCATAAGGGAACAGCGTCATTCGTCCAGTGGTCTATGTGACGGAAACCAAGCTAGCTAAAGTCGAGCATTACAGCTATAATTGAGGGCAGGTGCACGTGGGATGATGCAAAAGGTGTGTGGGTAATCTTAACCACATGCCGAACAAAGACTTGCGTGCATCACTGGTTGTTGTAGGTAATGCTCTCGGCCTCGAGCTCTCATTTCTTCAGCCAATGGAAGAAAGAAGAATTGTCCTACTAGCTCTCCAATTTACAGTCTTATTGCTCGATATTACTCATTTTGAGCTTGCATGATGTAGTTGTACAAGAGAACTCGGGTTTGCAACTTAAGGGCACGGTCCGCGATCAGGTATCGAAGTTGAAAATATGGCGTCAGGAGGTTAGAGTGGTCCGCGACGAACAACCTTGTACCGGTTTCGCGGCAAAAAATTCTAAGGGAGGGGCGCTATAGCGCAATATAGGTTCAGTGGTTCCTCCTTTTTTCCAGTGACTCCGCCTCCAATGCCCGGCTTTCAGTGAAAAACGAGATTGCAGGACGAAAAAGCATGAAAATCGTCACTTGTACGATCGTAGTTCTTATCGGTGAATCAGTGATGCGCCATGACAGGGGGTGGTCGTTTAATGTAGGAGATAGAGTTAACTGGGCACGTTATTAAAATGGGATCAAAATGGGGTTCTATCTAGGGCAGGTGGCATGTTTTTTGTGCTTTTTTCTTCACTGTCGAGTTACTCAACCCCTTGTCGTCTATATGGAACCCCCTAATCCACTATCTGAGATGGCGAATAATCGCAGTTCTGCCTTTAAAAGCAGAGCCCGTGTTCAAAAATGATGAGTTATGCGGCTCAGATAGTAATAACAGGGTAGCAAATGATCCAGTAGAAGAGAAAAAAAGCAGGAAAAAAATCGTGGAAAATGCCTCATGTAGAACCCCATGCCGAACTGAGTTGTACGTGCATAAGGCGAAGAAAAGGGGTGGTCGGACGAGTTCTCACTCGTTGGTGCCAACTCTTTCACATTATCATCTCTCAACATTTGAAACGGAGAAGTTCAGTAGCTGAACAACCGCACCATCGGGCGAGGTAGCTAGTGAACGTTGGGTTTTGCAGCAGTCAAGGGCGGGGCGGCAGTTCCTTCATGAGCGGGCGCTTTCCTTGTATTTCGGAGCTGCGAATTAGTTAAATCCTCCATCCTTCAAAGGAGGGCTGCCATATATAAGGTAACTGTGGGAACAGATGAATGCGGGCTCTGCCTGAAAAATGAAGCGGTTTTGCCGGTTCACTTCGTCTTACAAATCCATTCTTGAAAAGCGTTGGAACCATTTTCCAGCAATCATTACTGTCGTCGGTGTCTGGCTATAAAGCTTCTGTGAAAAGCGTAATAACGCAGCTCGAATATTTTATTCAGGGCCAGACATAACCAATGTAGTGACGCATTGTGCACTCGAAGCGACGCTTGCACGGGATGGAACTATGCAGGCATGTGGGTGATGAAACGCTTAGCTAGTCTGGGTGGAATATGAAATCTTCGAAAATGAGATAAGGTGTCTCCATTACCACCGTCATTTTCTGCACTCAGACCAGTAGTAGAATAGTGCGCTCAGTTAATCAGCTTCGTTGTGAAAGACACGTCTACGCAAATGCATGGGGAATATAGGTCTGACTCCGCCTATATGATTGCCGTGCACTGCGCACTCAAAATGACCTCTGCGAATGTTTGCTGGACCTAGAGAAGTCGCTGAAGTGTCCTTGTCAGGAAAATCTTCTCAAAAAAAGTTCTCTTGGGAAGACTTCCACTTCAATCACAGGAAATGCTGAGTCATGGGCAAAACTTTGACCCGCCGGGACTCGAGCCCGCGCGTCACGTTTCCGGGGGATTGCGCTATCCTTCACGCCACCAGAGCCGCTCTTACTTTCTCAGCTT